TTATTATTAAATGCAGGTCTAATATGCATTATGTTCCAGACCAGGTAGACCTTTAAAGCGAGTAGTCAGAGTAATGCAGACAGAATAGCAAAGTAAAAAATGGGAATTAAAACAGTGAAATCATTTTAAGGCTCCACACATTGACAAATATCCTATCCCTGAAATACTCTTGCAAGGGTGAGGACTTTATCCCCCCTCCAGGGCGAGAGGGGAAATTAGTGGAGAAACAGAGGCATCTTTGGTCTGGTTTCAGTAGATGGTATGAAGATCTGCTTCAGCCTCTTGAATGCAGACCCTGTTGACTGGCAAACTGATAAGTCCCAAGCCCCACGAGGTCATTGTTTGGGCGAGGATTGGCTCAGAGTGAATGTAAATAGCAATTGTTTCTGTTTTGGCTACAAACCCTGAGGGTCTTCCCCTCCCAAACTGATCTTTTTTTGACCAGGTGAAAAAGACCATTTTCTGCCTCATAGCCTTAATTACTGAATTTGCATTGCCTCAGTTAGCTTTAATAGGCCAACGTCTCCCACTGCATCCAGAGCCAGCTCCAGTCGTCCTGATCTATATCTCACCACTGGGCCCAGGTGGCTCTGGAGGAGAAAGTGAGGCTGGTGACTTTGCACAGCCCTGCCTCACTTCAATCCAAGTCTCTTGCATGTCTTGGCATCACCTCCCTGAGGTCATGGTCTTCTCTGAGAACAAAGGACAAACAACAACAAGATCCCACCTTCTTCAGGAAGCCTTGCCCAGTGCCTTCCTCTGGTAACTATTTCCCATTTATCCAATATATAGCTTGCTTTGCATATATTTGTTTGCACGTTGTCTCCCCCATTAGATTGTAAGCTCCTGGAGAGTAGGGACTGTCTTTTATCTCCTTTTGCATTCCCATTGCTTAGCACCAGTGCCTGGCATATAATAGACACTTAATTGATTTGTTCATTGATTGACTGATTGGACCCCTGGGTTCACCAGGACTGAATGTTATTGCAACTTTACCCAGTATTGTGCCCCCCTCTCCAAGAGCTACTGTCTGCTTGGGTCCTCTTCACCTTTACTGTCTTTATGTTCCAGTATTTGCACTTTTATACCTTCTGCCTCCGAGAAAATTCTCCATCACAGGGCTTACCTGTTAACCACCACTTTGCATAGGGCCTTCTGGGAAATGGAGACTAGGATTTTTTTCCCCCAGTGACTAATGCTTCGGGTTCTAAGCATCAAAGGAAATGAAATCTTGGAGACTTTATTACTATTTCACCATGCCCACTACCTAAATGACCATATTTGGGCTCAATTCAACAGTGCCTACCAATTGCACATTGTGGGAGAGACATAGTTAATAGCTCATGTCAAAAGAACATTCCAGTGGTGATGTAGGTAGTTCAAGATAATCCAAGTGTAAAAAACAAAAAACAAAAACAAACAAAAAAAAAAACACACAAAACCCCAAGATAATCCAAGTGTGACATGGCTGCCAAAACCCCCCACGAACGCCATTTTAAGCAGTATTAATAGTAGCATAGTATCCAGAATGTCAGCGGTGACAGTCCCGTTGTATTCTGCCCAGGTCTGAACACATGGAGGCACTACATTTCAGGACAGTGACATTTCGAACAGGTCCAGTGGAATACCATCAAGAAAAATCCTCTGGATACTTCAACTATATAATGATATTAATTTACACATTCAAGATATATAAGGGAGAGGTAATATGGTGTGGAGAGTAGAGGGCCGGGCTTGGAGTCCAGAGGAAGCGGGTTTACAAACCAGATGCTGATCTATATGAGTGGGTATAGCTTTCATACTAGAAGCTTCCCACAGAAAATGAAATCATAGGTTGGGACAAAAAAAATTGGGGTAAGTACCCTGGATTTTTTAAAGGGTTCTTATGAAAATAAGAAATAAAAGCTTGGCCTGGAAATGATGTGATAGAGTCATTAGAGTTCCAAGCATAGGTATGCTGGTAAATGTTTAACACCTGGATCTCCAGGTAGAGGGTATGTGTGTATATGTGTGTAAATGCAGGTTAAATATTTTTCTTTGAATATTTTATTTATTTTTATTTTTAAAAGAATTTAAAAATATTTAATATCTATTTTTGATATTCTTTTCTATTTAAATTTTGAGTTCTAAATTCTCTTCCTCCCTCTAATTCCCTCCCATATCAACTAAGAAGTCAAGCAATATGATACCCATTATAAATGTGAAATTACAAAACATTTCTATATTAGACATTTTTTAAAAAGCAAGAAAAAAATAGAGAAAATGAGAAAATTACACTTTAATTTTCAGAGTTCATCACTTCTCTCTCTGGAGGAGCATAGCATTTTTTTCATCCTGAGTCCTTTGGAATTGTCTGGGATCACTGCATTGATCAGACTAGCCAAGTTTTTCAAAGTTGATCATCACAGCATTGTACAATGATCTACCCTCTACTGGAGAAATAACACCAAATGTAGGACCTAGTGGCGATGGGCGTGGGAAGAAATCTCTGTAGGTGAAAGACATTATTAATAATTATGTAAATGTTGAGTCTCAAACATCAGTAGAGGCTGCTACATTCATCAGAGAAAGGTGCTGTGATTTCTCCCCAAATTTAAGCCATGGTGCTCCATGATTACAGATGAGCAGGCTGAGAATGGATAAAGAGGGAGAAGATGATAAAAGATGGGATAAAAGGGAAGAGAGAAGAAGGTGAAGCACAGATATTTTTGTTTTTATCAAAGTAGTAGAGTGGAAATAATGCTTGCTTTGGAATTAGAAGACATAGGTATGAATCCTAACTCTGCCATCTTCTTACTACCTGTGAGGCCTTGGCGAGGTCATTTAAACCCGTTTATGCCTAGATTCCTTCCATCTCTTAGTGACTTTGTGAGTCTAAGCCCTTGTCCTTTTTGCTCCTTCATTATATACTATATATATATCTTTATATACACATATGTATATACATGTAAACAGGTAGATATAATATCTATATGTTGTTGAGTGGTTTTGTCATGCCTGATTCTTTGTGACCTCATTTGGGGTATTCTTGGCAAAGATATTGGAGCAGTTTGCCATTTCCTTCTCCAGCTGATTTTACAGATGAGGAAACTGAGGCAAACAGGGTTAAGTGACTTGCCCAGGGTCACACAGCTAGTAAGTGTCTGAGGCTGGATTTGAATGCAGTAAAAATGAGTCTCCTGACTCCAGGCCAAGTACTCTATTCACTGCACTACCTAGCTGCCCACATATCTATACACATAAATATATCTATATGTATACCTTTATATATATATATATGCATATATTTCTTTACATACATATCTCCATATGCATATAGGTTTTAATATGTACACATACACACCTTTACGTATCTTCATACACATATAGGTATATTATCTATACATACATGTCTATATATACTTTATATATTTCTTTATGTACATATATCTTCACCTACATATAGTAGATAGATCATTATATACACATATATGCCTAAATGTATATCTTTATATATTTCTTTATGTACTTATAGAAATATATAAGCTTTATATACACATACCTATATGTATATCAACTTTATAGACATGTACTTATATCTTGATATATATTTTCATATACCCCCATCTACATGTATATATAACATTTATATACACATATGCCCATATGTGTATCTTAATACAGGTTTCATTGTTATTTAGTCGTCCCTGACCCTTCATGGCCCCATTTGGGGTTTTCTTAGCACGTACTGGCCTAGTTTTCCCTTTCCTTCTCAAGCTCATTTTACAGATGAGGAAGCAGAAGCAGACCGGGTTAAGTGGCTTGCTCAGGGTCACACAACTAGCAGGGAAGATGAGTCTTCCTGACTTCAGGCCCAGCACTCTATCCATGCACCACCTAGCTGTCCATACATATGGGTACATCTTTATATACAAATTGTATTTATACATATAGGCACGTATGGATATACATGTCTAGGTGTACCTCGCCATGTACATATACGTATATACCTACACCCGTACTTCTAGGTGTTCCTCTTTATATACACATAGGTACATATTTCTTTGGCTAAACAAGCATGAGAGTACAGTCAATCGAGTGGACCACGTGTATGTTTGACGGGCCGTCGGGCCGCAGGAACAATTAAGGGGTCGGACAACTTAGAGAACCACTTTAGGGCCATTTCAATAGGGCTGAGAGGCCGGTTAGAGGAGTAGCTGGGCCGGCTCCCGGCTGGGCCAAGGCAGGGCGGTTTGGAACGCGAAGCTCCGGGTTTCTAAAGCAGGGGGCTCCAAGCCGTCCCGGCCCGGAGTCGCGCCCCCCGGGCACTGGGGCACTTGACCCCGTGGAGCCGTTTCCGCCTCCCCCGGGAAGCCAAGGGGCGAGCCGGCGAGGAGCAGCGAGCAAGGGCGCCGAGGGGCCGAAGCCTGGGCGCCCGCTCCACTTTCCAATCTCTTCGACGCCGGCCGGGGGAGCCTCTCCCCGGATTTGTGACGTGCCCGGAGGGGACACCTCACAAAGCCGCGCGGTGGGCGGGGATCCCCTCAAAACGCCCCCCCGGGGAGGGCCGCAGGACCCAGATGGGACGGGACGGGGCCACCTACAGGCGCTGGGCAGCCCGCCGGCATTAAGGTGAAGCCGGCGGCGACAGCCTCTGCGGGGAGCTCAGGGTGGCGGCCCTGGGATCGCACGCGGCGCACATGTCCTCTCTACCTCCGCTGGCGGCCAGCACGATTTCTACGCCATGCTCGGGGCACGCCCCCCCCGGGGTGGAGCCGAGCCCGGGGGTGGTGCCGCAGCTGGAAAAGGCCGAGGCGGAGGCCGGGGCTGTGGCTTCTACTGCAGCAGAGGCGGCAGCAGCAGCGGGACGGGCAGCTGCTGCGAAGGAGGCGCCTGCCGCCGGCCCCGCCGCGCTCGCGCAGCCCCAGCCCGGCTCAGAGCGCGGCACTGCGGGCGGCGGCGGCGGCGGCGGTGGTGGTGGCGGCGGCGGCAGCCACGGGAAGCTCCCTACTGCGTCGCCCTCGTCCCGGGGCCGCGCCGCGCCTGCCGCCGCCGCCGCAGCCCCGGCCGCCCCAGCCCTCCTCTCCGCCTCAATCGTTTGCATCGGGGCCCCAGCCCGGCCGTCGCCCTCGACCTGGTCTCCACTTCCCCACCGCTCCTCCGATGACACCTTCCTCCGCTCGAAGATGTCTTCGAAGGGCACACACAGCACCCACCTGAAGCTGGAGAGCGAGCTGGAGCGCTGCCGCGCCGAGGGCCAGTGGGAGCGGGTGCCCTCCCTCGTTTTTCAGCTGCAGAGCATCCCCAGCACCGGCGGCTGGCGGGCCGGCAGCCGGAGCGTCTGCCTCACCAAGCAGGACGTCGGTGAGTCGGGGCTCCCGGGCCCGCCGGCCACTGGGGCCCCGCCCGGGGCTGCTGCTTGGCGGGGCCCTGCTGCTCCCGCTGCTTCAGCACCTCCCTCCGTGTGCTTGCCCGTAATTTACAAGCCCCCTTATCCCTCCCTGAAAACTTATCCCGAGGGTCCTCCCAGCATCCCCGCCCCCGATACACTTGCCGGTAATTAACTGCTCAAAAGTTTGACCGATCGGGAGGGTTTCCCCGAGCACACCCCCTCCCGCCGGTGCACTTGCCACTAGTTTACAACTCTCCTCGCCCCCCCCACCCCGTCCCTCTGGGATGATCCCGAAGGTCCCCCTCGAGTACCTCCCAGTTCCTTGTTAATTTACAACTCTTCTTCCCCGCCCCCGGAAAACTTGACTGATTCCTCCCGGAGGGATCCCGAGAGTCCGGCTTCATCAGCCCTTCTTTCGATGCACAACCCCCCTTTCCCCTCCGCACTTGCCTGCAATTTGCAACCTTTCTCTCTACCTCTGAAAACTTGACGGTGGTGGCGAGGGGCCCGTTTCATCAGTCCTTCCTCCGGAGCGCACCCCAGTGCTCTTACCTGTAATTCACAACTCCCTCTCCCGCTCTGAAAACCTGACTTCCCTCTGGGAGGGTCTGGAAGGTTCGTTCGTTGACCCATCACTCCGGGATGCTGGCAAAGGTCCAACTTCATCAGTCGCCTCCCCTGGAGCACCCCTCAGAGCTCTTGTCTATAATTTACCAGTCTCTTCTCCCCTCGTACTTGCCTGTAATTTACATTACACACACCCGTACCTCCCCCCCAGAAAAAAAACACACAACTTGACCAGTCGCTCTGGGAGCAGTTTCGTTCTATCTCCCTGGAGCCCTGGCGAGGCAGGTAGGGATGGGCGTGGAGAACGGGCAGCTCACTTAAACTTAGAAGGAGTCTTTGGGTAGTCTGCCTTCGGAAGGAAGAAAGTCACAAGCTTGTTGCTGTGTTTAAAATGGGGGAATTAATCATGCATTAGATGCTGTCTTGGATGGTCCTTGAAGTGGCTTCCCCTTCCTCTCTGCTGTGGAGTTGTTGTATTACCCATTTGAGTGTAGTTTCTGTCTTAAATGAATTCTCTCTCCTTCCCCCCACCTTCCTACTTTGAGGTTAGGAGAAGGGGGCGGGGGCTTGTAGAAGAGGGAAGGTAGGGAGAGGGTGGGGCGGAAGGAGAGAAACTGAAACATACGCAGAAGTAGCGAAGTTGAGTTTGAAAGAGGAAGTTCTTGTGTAGTCTTTGTTAAACTGCCTGATGCTTTTAGCCTGCTGGAAATTAATAGCTGGGTATTTGCAAACTTTAAAGGGAGTTCTTCCTACCCTTTGCAGTGCTAACTAACAGTTAATCAGTCTTAGTAGCACTTCTTCCCCCTCTAAATCCTCCGAAAATCTATTCTGAATGGGCCAGTCACCTGGGGAAAATTACTCTGTGTACTGAAATGACCCCAAACCAGAACAACTTTGCATTTGTACTATTGACTGAAGGAGAGTAGTTGTGAATGGGGGAAGGGATGGAGCATTTTAAAACAATTTCCCTCTGCAGTCAACTTCCAATTTAAGCACATGAATAACGTGGAGGAAACTTTGCAGACTTGAGTAAGATTCCATTGCCTTTTCTCAGGCCAGAGGCACTGGTCTACAATGAACTCAGGAAAGACACTTGTTTTCATATATAACCATCTGAATGGAGTTGTTTTCTTGTTCACCCTCCAGTGTTTGTGTTCAGTGTTGAGTTCTCATTCCCAGTTCTGTCTAAAACACAATTTCAACCCATAATCTGTGTAATTTTTAAGCACTTAATTTATGTTTTCCCTTTTTCAGGGGTGAGCCTGTATGCTACCTGGAATATACTTCCAGATAGAGGCCACGCCCCTAAAAAAGTACATACATATCTCAGTTATACACAAAAGAGCCTTTTGAGCTAAGGTAGGGTCATAAATTTGCAGCTGAAAAAAAAAAAGCAACACCCCAGGCATCTTGGAGCAGCTGGGTTACATGGTGGATGAGTCCTGGGACTGGGAAGACGAGTTCAAATTCCAGCTAGTAAGCTTGTTCAGAGCATCCCCAGCCACTTCCCTGGGTCCCTATTTCCTTATCTATAAGATGAGGTGTTTGACTGTGGGAGCCTCTGAAACTCTCTTTTTGCCTCTGGATCTGTGCTGATTCTCTCATTTTACAGATGAAGAAATTGAGGACCTAAGAGGGAAAGTGACTTTCCTAAAATGGCATACTAAGAGTATACTAAGTTGAGATTTGCCCCTGGGTTTCAATCATACGACTTTCCCTTTTACTAAGGCCCTCCTCAAAGCTGTTTACAATTTTTGCAGGCCACCACTTTTTCCTATTAATACAGATAATTGGGAGAGAATTAATTGTTTTGGGGTTTTCCCAGGAGCAGTTTGGTTTTTTTTCCCCCATTTTAGTCCTTTGTTGCAGTCACCAGCACCTGCCTGTCCTGTGATATACATGGGTTTGTGCCAGGCATATTTGTGTCACCCTTTGCTTCTCATTAGTGAAGTTTACTGCTGCTGTTTTTGAAAAACTCCTGTCTTTGGAAAGAAGGTATTTATTTTCTGGCATTTCATGGCTTGAGGTTTCCTGGATACTAGTTAGTGACAGCTGGTGTTCCCAGTGCTTTTGTTTTTGTGTTTTTTTTTTAAATAATGAGCATTTTCTTAGAAGCTAGGAGACAAGGCTTGGGAACTCAATCCAAATGTCTTGGGTTCAGAGGGCTGCTTTATGTCCCTGGGCTCTTGGGGGAGGAAGGAGGGGAAGAACTGACCCAGACAGTGTGATGTGAGAGATAAAATACTGGATTTACTTATTAGTTTTGGGTTTGAATCCGCAATCTGCTATTTACCACTTGTGTGAAAATTCACTTCGCTTACGTTCCTCAGTTTCCTTTTACCATAAAATGAGATTAGGACACTGAGGTTAGCCTTGGAATTAGAACCCCAACCTGTTAGACCTTAAGGGAATCACTTGATCTCTCTGTAAAAGAAGGGAGTTGGAAATCATTAGTTGACTTCCTAATGTCCTTTCCGGTTTTAAATCTCTGCTTCTGTGTCTGAGATGGGCAAGCACACCAGATCATAAGTACAGTATGGGGTCCTTCCTACTGAGAGTCTCCCTTCTCTTTGCAGGAGCTACCTTGCGACAGCCGTAATGAGACTTGGGACATTCAATAAATATTTGTTGAATGAATGAGTCATTTGTTTCCCAGGTTGATTTTGGCCAAAATGTTAATAAAAATTCTGTATTGAATTCTGTATTGACTGCATCCCCTGCAACACTTGGAAGAAAGTTAATGTCAGAAGATAGACGTCCACATCTTGTTAGAAAAATCATGTTGATTTCAGGCTTTGGGGGTGTTTGTACAACAGCCAGAAAACATTCTCATCCCAGAGGAGATGCTGGCTGATTGAGCAAGGAACTGTTTTTGGGACTGATTGCCCTAGAGGTAGAACAAAATTTGGGCCCTACCCTATGAGAGGGTAAAAAATGCCAACCTGGAAAGGCTGAGAACAATTTCATAGGACCTTAAGATTCCTGACAACAGACTTTGCCAATGTCAATTGAATATGTGGGTTTTTTTTTTAAGTAGCACATTTTACTGAGTAAAACTACAGCTCCGCATCACAGAAACCTGAGCCTGAAATAGGGCCTCCAAGGGCATCCTAGTCTGACACAGTCCTGAGCATGAAATCCCCTTAAGGCTACATCTGGCAACCTAAAGGACTAGGGTGAGGGGGAGCTCATAACCTCCTGACAGAGGCTGCTCCATGCTTAGGTGTCTTGTAACTTTAAGATCTCAACGGTGCCTTTTGCCAAGTTACTGATATCTTTAACATAGAGAAAGAAAAAATATGTGTGTGTGTGTGTGTGTGTGTGTGTGTGTGTGTGTTTACAAGTGAAGTTTGGCTTTGAAAACAAAATGCTTTGGGTTGGAGGCGCTGCTCCTTCAGACGTAAGCAGTACATAGCACTTGTTAGAATGGAATCTAAGGATGCTGGGTCACCTCCCGGCTGTGTCACTTGCTTAGCCTGAGGTTGTGGACAAGTCAGTTATTTAATTTCTTGGAGCATCACTTTCCTCGTGCATGAGATGACGAGAATACTGCTGTCTGACCTGCCTAACTCACAGGGTTGTTGTATTCTTTGAGATGATAGGAAGTGTTTGTTACCTTCTGAGTGCTTTGTACAAGTGCACTATTTTGTTTGGGGGTGCTGTAGGATGCCTAGGGTTTGTATCTTCCCTCAGCTTGGGATGGAGGGGTTCACTACAGCTCACTTTAAATTCTGTGAATTCATTTCATTTGTCAATTCATTTTGGGGAGCACCAAATTGTTTTTGAGGGTAAAAAAAAACATCAAGGGAATACTTTAAAAGTGACCATGGCAAAATGCCCAAGATGGTTACAGCCTGATGAAAATCTTGCCTTTGCTTTTCTAAAAAGGGATGATTTTTTGTGCTTAAGTGGAAAATCTAATTTAGATTACAGAAATTAGCGTTGTGGTCACTGCAGGGCTGGCACTTTTTTTTTTAATTGATGAAATGCCTGGTTTGTGAAGCATTTGTGGCATCGTGGGATCGTGGATAGAAGTCTGGCCTTTGGAAGACCAGGGTTCAAGTTCTGCCTGTAGTCTGTGACAGGTCATTCAGCTTGGGCTCACAAGCAAGTCATTCAGCTTCTGTGCTTGGGCAACTTTCAAAGACAAGAAGTTGCTGATAGACCTCAGAAGGGGAGACTTTCAATACTCAAGAGTCACCCACAGCAAATTAAATCACCAGGCTAGATTTTTCCCTTTCACCCCTCCACCCAAAGTCCACCATTTTGGGCACTGTGGGAGATAGCTGACTCATAGAGGGACCAGAGCTCTCACTGAGTTCATAGTCTAATAGGGATGATACTCTGTAGTCATAACCGCAACATACGTGCATAAGAAATAGAATCTGATTCTGGCCAGTGGATGCTTTTCACCCTTCTGTGTTTTTGCCTTCTTTTCTGTGATTCCCCACACTTATCTACTGGCTTTCATTTCTCGGGCTCTCTCTTTCAGATGACTTTGGGAAGCTCCTCCTTGCAGAGGCCATGCTGGAGCAGTGCTTGAAGGAGAATGTTAGTGACCTAAGAGATTCCATCCCTTTGGTGGAGAAGAACCAGCCCAAAATGTTTGAAGCCAAAAAGTATCTGACTAGTATCCTCAACAGAGGGAAATTGTCGGTAAGTAGCTAAATTGGATTGGGGATGGGGACACAGGAGTTAAAAGATAAAACATTATGGGTCTAGGCAATTGTGGAGGGTTCCACTGAAGATTAGGGAATTCATTTCAGCATGCATTTATTAGGTGCCTACTGTGTGCAAAGTGAGAAGGCAGCATGGTGTAGTGGATAGACTGTTGGACTTGGAGTCAAGATGATTTGGATTCAGATCCTGTCTCATACACTTACTTGCCACGTGACCTTAAGCAAGTCACTTAACTTTTCTGAGCCTTAGCTTCCTTATCTGTAAAATGAGGGGTTGTACTCAATGGCCTCTAATATCCCTTCTAGCCTGAAACTCCCATGGTCCTTGGTCCCTTGATACATGTGTGCTTTGTAACCATAGGTAAAGTACTCAATCTTTCAGTGCCCTGAGCCCGGGAATTATAGTTAACTTGCTGATCTACTTCATCAGGGGGAGGAGCTTCCGTACCATGTACCTGCTCCCTGCACCCCCAGACACAACAGAGTATTGCAGGCACTGAGAGAGAAAAAGAATTGAACTAGACTGAGGTCCCATAATGGGAAAGAATCTTAGTAGCAGAAAATCATCGACTGAAAAAATACTGGAAGGGACCTTGGAGATTCTGCAGGTGAAGAAAGAAGGTCAGAGGGGTGAGGCAGCCTGCCCTAGGTCACATAGCAAGGTGATGACAGAGCTGAGCCTTAACCCTAGGCCTGCTTATCACCTGGGACTTTCCCTTCTGAAGTCAAGTTGGAGTGCTTTGGGGCAACTGGAGTCAGCCTCTGTGGCTAAGCTTTTAAACTCCCTGTTGGGAAAGGTTTAATGTGGAGCTAAGATGAATTGGGATGCATATACCCTGGAGAATGGCCTCCAGCTGTGGTATCTATTGATTTCTTTGCAGGGGATGGAAAGACTAGATTGGACTGAGCTGCTTCCCCAGCCCTCTCTCTGGTTGGCTTCTGTTTCATTCAGCAGGCATTCCTTAAGTTACTCATTTCTGGGGTATACTGAGCAGAGAGGATTTTGAGTTGTTTTTCCCATTCCTGGATTGGGTTTGCTGTTCCCTGTCCAGGACTGAAATTGTCTTCATTGGGATGAAATGGGTTCAAACGTTTTTAATATTTAAATGAAAGTCTACTCTGGCCGGTGAATTTACTGGACTAACACTGGCTTCCAGGGCCTTTGTCCTTGGGGTGTGAAGGGAGGTGGTAGAACTTCCTTCTCGATGTCTTCTGTAACTTACTGAGTTACCTGGGGGCATTTTGAGATTGGCATTTGGCCCTGATCACACAGTTGGTATGGGGTCAGGGCCTGGACAGGAATCCAGGTTGTAGGATCGTGGCTCAAGAATGGGAAGGGACATTAGAAATCAGCTGGTCTGATCCCCTCATTTTACTGATGGGAAAACTGAAACCTGGAGATTTGCCTAAAGTCCCCCAACTAGTCAATATTAGAGGCAGAATCTGAACCCAGGGCTTGTGATCTCAGAGCCAGAGCTTTCCCCATTATTCCACGCGCCTTCCTTGACACCATGGTCTACCTGTCCACTATACCCACCTGTATAAACTCTGAAAACAAAATATATAAGTAAAAATTGGGAGGATAGTAATGCCTTGTTTTTGTTGGCCTGGAAAAAAATGAAGAGTAAAGTACTTCCAGATCTCTCATGTGTCCTGTGAAGAAGAGAAGGCAGAGATTAGTCTTCCCCTTATGTGGATGGTACAGCATAGAAAAATGAATTGCTTGAGTTCATCTGGGCAGGCATGCTTCTGTCAGGTCACACCTCGTCACTCCAGAAGAATGTTCCTGCTTTTTCCCCCTTCCCTTGGAAGGAGATGATTGGATCCTGCCCTGTATTTGTTTACCTCATGCTGTTATTCTCCAGGAAAGTTCAAAGCCCTTTCTCTCTGTTGGCTCACTAATTTTCTCTGCTTCCTTGTGAGGGAAGGGTGAGGACCAGGTGTTATGATGATTATTCTCATCATTGCCCTCTTCATTATTATGAGCGGTAGGAAAAGTGACTCGTGGCTTCACCAAGGTACAGGAAGCAGGGAAGAGTTGCCAGAGTTTAAATCCAGCAAAAGGGGGACCTCGGGTTACCGGGATTTGCCAGCTTTGCTGACTCCTCTTGGCTCTTCAGAAGATGAGGCTCCGCCTCGCCCTGTTTAGTCTCTCCTCTGCCCTGAAGGAGCTAGATGAGTGAACACCAGCCTGAGCTAAGTCCCAGGCAGACCATCCAACCCTGTCTCTAAGATAGGATGGTGAAGGAGAGGAGAAAATCTATTTTTTGTTCTTTGGGGGAAAAAAAAATTAAAACCAAGAAGACAGACCTCTGGTCCTCCCTACTTCACAGGGATGTTATTCTAGAGATAGAATGAGAAAAAAATGAGTTAGGGGAAACTCCCAGGAGGTAAAACGCTTTAGTGCAGCTCCTTTGTAAATTCGTTTGTAAACATGAACTTGAGAGGATTGTCTGAGAGCATGGGTGCACAGCTAGTGTGTGTTAGAGGCGGGGCTTGATCCCTAGATCAGAAGGCTCCCCATGCTGGGCTTCTTCCTGGCTCCCAGGGGTCCCTGCACTTCGTGCTGCTTCTCCCTTTGCACGCAGTAAGCAGTTAATAGATGCATATTGAATTCCTATCTCTTAGCATAGCTGCAGAAGAACTAAAATTAAATAACAGTATTATTGAGGACAACAACATCAGCAAATACATATTAGGATCATGCATAGATTTGTATTGTCCTCAGTTTCCTTATCTGTAAAATGAGTGGATTGGACTGACAGTCTTCTGAGATCCTTTCTAGCTCTAGATCTGTATGTATGATTCTGATGCCTGTTGGACGCCAGCATTGTTTGCCGTTCTTTGTGATTGCCAGTGTGTGTATGTATATGTATGTGTATGTGTGCCTACCTTGGGAGCTAGAGCAGAGGTGCTGTTGATACAAAACCCCTGTCTTGGTGCTCATTCTGCTGTCAAACGTTGCCATCTAAGAAAACACTGGGGGCCCAGGGAGGTAGTGGGTGCTGCAGCTGCTGAAGAAAGAGTAGAGTCTTTTGCTGGAAAGTCTCTGCTGCTCGGGCCTCCACCTGTGAGATGGTTACGGGGGGGCCCAGCACTAGACAGAGGCCTCCTGTACGGCATGACCCGCCCAGCCCCAGCGTCAGCCTCTTGCCTTAGAGCTCTTTTGCTGATTCCAGGACCGTAATGATTGTCTCTTGTGTGTTCACTGCCTCAGATGAGTTGCAGCCTTTACAGACCTTTACAATGAACCTTACGATGATGTCTCCTGGGCTCAGATCACCTGGCGCTTTGCCGATTGTAATGCTAGCTAGCAGACTGTACATCTTGTTTCCCTAATCCCTATGATTCAGTCACTTATCTGCAGAGATTAAAAACAAAAAAAAACCCCTCTTTTCTTCTGATACCCCTGCGTCTATTATCCCTCTCCAGCTTAATTCAACCCCTGCCCAGTCCTTACCTAACATTCTCCTCCTCTTGTCCTATGCTACTCTTAACTACCACTAGCTAGCATTTGTATAGCACTTTACCAATACCATCTCATTTGACCCTTACAGCAACTCTGGTAGATAAATACTATTATTAGCCCCATTTTAGGGCAGACAGATTAAGTGCTTTGCCCAGAATCATGCAGCTATTTGGTGTCTGAGACCAGATTTAAACTTGGGTCTTCCAGACTCCAGGCCCAGTGCCGTATCTGATCAGTGTACCACTGCACTGGCGGTTATCAAAATGCTCCTTTATTCTGGAATTCTTTATCTCCTTTTCTTTCTATCTTGCTTTCCTAGAAGGCTAGCTTTCTGAGCAATGCCTTGTCCCTGGCTGTTTTCTCCTTTTAACCTCCACCCTCATCTCCCCACGCTAGGCCAAGAAGTCATCCCAATTCTTGTTCCCCAGTGCCCATTCAGTGCCTGTCTCTGTTATTTTTCCATAGCCTCTCTTCCTTCCATCCATATCGCTTGGTCCAAAGCCACATTGCTTCTACTCTACACGAGTAACTCCTATATCCAGTCTTTCCTGATTTCCCCAGCTGCTAATGCCTCCCCCCCCCCCCCCCGGCCATTTACCTGGTATTTAGTTTTGATCTATTTGTGTATATGTTGTTTTCCCACAATACAATTTAAGCTCCCTGAGGGCAAGGACTATTTAGTTTTTGGCTTTATATGCACAGGGTCTGGTACAGGGGGAGCTAGGTGGTAGAGTGGATAGAGCCCCCAGGCCTGGAATCAGAAAGACTCCTCTTCCTGAGTTCAGATCTGGCCTTAGTACTAGTTGTGTGACCCTGGACAAGTCACTTACTTCTGTTTGCCTCGGTTTCCTCATCTGTCAAGTGAACTGGAGAAGGAAACAGCAATCCATTCCAGTATCTTTGCCAAGAAAACCCCAAATGGGGTCTCAAAGAGTCATATAAGACTGAAAAAGTTGAACAAAAGATCCTTAATAAATTCTTGTTGATTGATTGGTCTTGTTCTCACGTTATTTTTTTCCCCTAAGAAGTTAAGTGCCCGACTGGTCTTTTTCTCCATTCTAATTCCTGATTTCATGTCTACTCATGTCACTCTCCTGCTTAAGGAGCTGCACTGGCTCCCTCTTGCCCCTAAGATAAAACACAAATTTCTCAGCTTAGCGTTAAAGCGCTTTGCAATCCTACTCCACCTTATGTTTTCAGACTTCCTTTGTGCGTTCCATATTCTAGCCAAACTGCCTGCTTGGCTGTTCCCAAAAATGGTGATCTCTTGTGTCCTTCATGCCCTTGCCTGGCCTGTCCTTCATGTACTCCCTCCTCACTTTAGCATCTTAGAATCCCTAGCTTCATTTAGGCCCAGCTCAATTGCTATATTCCTACATTATTATCTAGTACAGTGCTTACAAGCCTATCATAGATATGTAGTAAATGTTTATTAACTAATTTGAGCTCTTGATTTTTCTCCCTCTACCACAGTTAGAACTTCTGCATTTCTGCTGAAATGACTTTGT